CAGTGGGTGCAGACAACCTGCTCCCTCCCCACAGGAGCTGCCCTTGCAGTGGGGCCGGGGCACCCACAGGCACCCTCCTCCTGCAGCCACCCCAGGACCCTGCAGTGCACAGCAGCCATGCCCCTTGGGGGTGGATTTACAGGGGATTTACAGGGGTTTCACAGGATTCAGGGGGTTTCCTCTTTACAGTTAATCTTTCTCCCAGGTTTGCTTTTTTACCCTGTGCTTGAAGCCAAGCAGTCGCCATGCACGGGGAGCTCGAGAGCAGCCAGCACCCAAGCCACAGCCTTGCAGTCACTGACCACCAGCACCTCAGTGACACAGATTCCATTGACACCTCGCATGGGTACAGACAAGGGGGTTTCCACCCTCTGTACATCCGAAGCTCTCCGCTTCCCAGCCAAGAGCTGTGGCTCAGACTGATGCCGCACATGGGGAGGAAAACCCTCACCCTGCTCAGGGGATGGAAAGCACAAAAGAAAGAAGTGGTGGTTCTTGGTTCTTAGAAACAGCTCAGAGCCGGGAGGGATGGGAAGCTTTTTCACCGCTTTCACAACAGCTACGTGCTGCTCAGGGGGAGCCCCATCATCATCCTGCTCCTGCCGGCCCGGCCAGTGGATGCTGCAGGATGGGGACATCCTCCTGGCACTTGCCGTTGTCACACCAAGCAGGGACATGACCAAAGGCATCGGATCTCTGACACACACCCCCAGAATGAGCAGGGCTGGAGACACCAACAGTCGCCGCCAGCCCCTCCACGAGCACTCTCACTGCTGATAACAAGGGGGACACAGGGACCTGCTGCCTTCAGAGGTGAACATCCACATTACATCCCTCCCTCTATTTCATCGTTCAGAAAGCAACTTTATACTCAAAGCAGTCCAAGCCCTCACCATGCAAGTTGTTGGGCTCTGCACATCCCAGCATGACTGCCTTCACCCCTCCCCACCTCGCCAGCACTGGCACACAGGGCTCTGTGCGTGCTCCCAGCCAAGGGAATAGTTTATAGCCCAGGTGAGCACGGCTGGGTGAAGGTGTGCTGCCCCATGAGGGTTATGGAGGGTGATCAAGTCCTCTTGGTCTCCCATTCCTCCCCAACACAGTGGCCAGGACAGCAGGGATGGGGCGGAAATCAGAAACAAAGGGTTAAGGGCAAAAGAGATTTAAAAAGACGCAAAGAGAGGTTAAGGAGCACTGAACGGCAGCAAGAAAAGAGTCAAAGATGGAGAAAAAGGCATCCAAGGCAAAATCCAAACCAAACCAAAGTTACTTGGCGTAAGAGCTCCCAGGAGATGGGCTGAAAGGTGCTGGTGCTGCACAGGGGAGCTGGGAGGAGGAGAGTGATGGCAGGGAGGAGATGAGCGCAATGGCAGGGAATGGATCCATTAGGTGGGTGTGATGGGGGAGGCCCTGGAGATGCTCCCGTTTGCCCAGGAACAGACTAAACACCCCTGTACAGCTTCCAGCTATTCATTTCCCTATGTTCTGCCTCTTGTGGGTTATTTTGCAAGCAGCTGTGGGTGCAAGAGGCCTTTGCACCAGGGCTGCAGCTTGGCCGAGCAGGGCTCTTGCTGAACCAAGAGCTGCAGAAAAGGAGGGGATGGAAAAAAAATAGAAGGAAATTTCACAGGAAGCTCAAATATTTTATTACTTCCTGTTTGTACAAAGAATGTCAACACTTGGCACCCGCTGCGCTATTTGTTTAGAGCTAAGGTGCCAACTTGACAGAATGTCCTTTTCCTCTCCAGATCTAACCCAGAAGGAGACTGAGCACAAGAAAACATCATCTTTGTGCGAGCGGCTGCTCGGAGGGGCCGGTGTGATGCTGGCAGGGATGCCTGGGGACCACAGCAGCTCAGCCAAGGCCACCGCTGTCACCAGCCCCACATGCACTGGTGCTGCTCCTCACTTGGCTGTGGGGCCTCAAACCTCTCAGATCTTCAGTACCCTGGGACCAGCTCTCCTGGTGGCCCCATCCAGGCTCCTTCCCAGGCCCCGCACGGGCTCCAGCTCTCATCCACTTCCCTGTGATTTCTCACCCATCTCAACCCCATTGGAAACTCCTCAGTTTTTTTTCTGGGCAGAGCTTTGTTTAAAAGATTTGCTTATGGGCCTTAGATGAAGCCATGGGACAGGGGTGGAAGATGAATGGGATGCTCAGAGGTGGGGCAGGGAGCCCAGCTGCATTTCTGACCCAAAAACTTCACTAGAACGTTGGCTGGAGGGATTTTGCTGCATCTGAGAAGATGATGCCCAGGGCTTTCCCAGGACACCAAGACAAATGACCAATTCTTTCCGCATTAAGGGTGCTTTTCTGCCCGCTCACACCAGCCCCACATCCAGCCTCCAGCCCCAGCCAGTGCTGACCCTGCACAACGGGAGCCAACACACACCATGTCCCACCCATTTGCCACACTGCAGTCAAGGAAGGGAAAACCCCTCAGCTATTTCTGTGTGCACATACACACACACATATGTACTTACACATATGTGGGTGAGAATACTGAACATGTAGACCCACTGTTCCTAAGGCCAAGCAGGGGCACCAGCGCTGGCCACTGCGCTTGGGTGTTGATGCTGCTGGGGGCCGGAGCACCCAGGGGTGCTGTGCCTGAGAGCCACCCAGTGGCAGGTTAACCAGGAAAACCACGCTGGGGTTCCAGGAGTGAACCTGGATCATTTTGTAGCCGGTATTTCCACACCGAGGGTTTCTGCAGGGAGGGAAGGGCGCATTCATTCAAAAACACAAACCAAGCTGGTGAAAGAGGGGGGGGGGGTGTGTGTGTGTAGTTTTTTTCTTCCCGTTCAAGACGTTGAATTCTCAATCATGAATTTCAGCCCCCGGGTCAAACTGGGAGTCAAAATATGCCCTGTACCACAACCAAACCTATGATCATCTGAAAAACTTCCCCATAGCACAGCTTGGGGGTGAACTCCTTCGATCAGTACTTTACAGGTGCAGGAGTGGTGGGGAAGAGATTGACCTTTGGGGTGTACACAAGGCAGCCAGCAACCACCATGAAGGACTCCTCAGGGAGCCTTCACCTCCGGCACGGGCATTCTGAGGTCTACAAGTCATAGAACCACAAACTGGTTTGGGTTGGAAAGGACCTTAAGATCACCCAGTTCCAACCCCCTGCCATGGGCAGGGGACACCACACACCAGACCAGGTTGCCCAAGGCCCTGTCCAACCTGGCCTTGAACACTGCCAGGGATGGAGCATTCACCACTTCTCTGGGCACCCTGTGCCAGCGCCTCATCACCCTCACAGGGAAGAGCTTCCTTACATCTGACCTGAAAAACACCAAACCCAGCAAACCCCAGGGAAGCGCTGACCTTGCAGCCCTGCCGGCGAGCACATCCCTGGGCACACGGAGTCAGGACGAGCTGCTCCATCCCTGGTTCTGCCTGGGGTAACCAAAGGAGGGCTCAGCCGCAGCCCAACAGCACAGCCCCCCAGCCCTTGCCTGTATCAGGGGATGTAAATTAAAGATGGGAGCGATGGGATGGGATGTTGAAATTCAGGAGGAGCGGGTGTGATTCAGCAGGGTTTGGCGAGTGCTGGCTATCGGTGCAGAGCAAACCAAACGCCAAGAGTAGCAACTATCTCGCCTTGTATTATTATTTATGTATTCCTGATTATTATTATTATTAGAAAGGCGATCTGATGCAGCAGATAAAGGGCTGAGCCAGGAGTCAGGAGACCTGGTTTCTATTCCTGACCTGGAAGAGTTGTGAAATGTCTCCCTGCTTTCCCCTCCCAGCCCAGTCCCAGTGGCTGCAGCACCCACCACAATCCATGTTTGCTCACTGCCACAGCCCCACACAGGGACCTGCCTTAAAAACCCAACAGCATGGCACTGCCTGGATGCCAGCTTGGCAAATCCCAGGAATGCCCATGAAGCCTCTTGTGCTCCGAAATAAAAGGGGGAACAAAACCCAGCAAACCCCAAAGCAAATAAAACCTCCTCGCCAAGGGAGCAGCCTTCACCTGGCCTGACATCAAGGGGCACCGATGGCCCCGAGACAGCATCAGCAGAAAGTATTTTCTAAAGCATATTTAGAAGGATCAAACCGTTTCCCTTCAGTTTGGGCACCGGCAGCCTTACACACAAAGGGAACAAACTCTGCTTTATGGTCCCAAGGGTGGTGCTGAGCGGTCAGGAAGGTGAAGCCAGAGCAAAAACCCAGAGACAGAGGCCCTGGGGATGAGAACTCGCTGCAGGGGAGGGTCCCACAGAGCAAATATTACCTGTGGCAAAAGGAAACTCCTGAGCCAACGGCACCGGAGCATTTCCCCGCACGGGTCACAGATGCCAAAGTGAGCTCAAATCAGCCCAGTGCCAGCCCCCAGCCCCACGAGGGTGATTCACAGCTGTGTGTGCAAAGAGCCCTCCCCAGCCAACAGGCCCCCGCCTGCACCCTGGGAGCGCCGCAGCTGGTTCAGTCATCTCTTGGGCTTTCGGAAGCTGCCATCAGCCAGAGCCTCCGACAACCCGAAAGTGAAAGCAGCACCGAGCAAAGGGGAAGGTGCTCACCGAGCCCTGCTGGGCCCTGCAGACACACAGGCAAAGAGAACCCAGCAAAGAAACCTGCCCGCATTCCAGTTCAATAATCGGCAATTCAGCCTCTGATGGCTGCAACCCCCCAGCCGTGCCCTGCACAACACCACGGTCCAGTCCTCCTCATACCCACAGCATTTTCCCTGCATCCCAGCCACTACCAGGGCTGGAGCTATGCAACCATCCCTCCCCAATGGGATATGGAGGTGGCAAGAGCAGGCAGAGACACGCAACATGCTCCCTTGTGCAAAGAACACAAAAGCATCCACATGATGTCACGCAGTGCACGGTCCCACGGCTCACATTAGCTCTGCGAGGGGTGCCTGCCCCGGCTGGCCTGGCCACAACAGCATCCTGCATCCTTCAACCGCACAGAGCCCAACCCCTGCATCCCCTCCACGCATCTCAGTGGCTGCCAGATAAAACACATCACTTACTTCGTGGCTCCCGGGGTCCATCCACAGTCACTTTAATGGCTCGGTGATAGGTAGCAACTTGCGTGGGGTTGGTGAACACGGTGATCGTCAGGGTAAAGCTTTTTCCTAAGGAAGGTGAGGGGAAAGAAAAACAAAACAGGGAGAAATGAGGGTTCAGCTCTTGTGGGAGTGAAAGGCTCCTTCTGGAGCAAGCTCAGACACAAATATCCACATCCACCGAACTCCAACACACACACATCATTTAATTTTATGAGACAGGATTGCCGAGACACAAAGCTCGGCCGGCTCCCACTGGGGTTCTGCTGGCTGCAGCACAGAGAGGCTTGGACCTGGTTCAGAGCGGGAGCCAGGACCTTCCTGGATGGAAAAGTCACTTGTCCCCCTCCTCCCCATCCCTGTCCCCATATTGACCCCTCCACCCACAGCAGCTTCCTGGTGCCTTCCTGCTCAGATGCTTCTCCTTTTCCCATGGGAATCCAGCCCTGAAACACAGTGCTGGACACAGGACCCCCTCCACGAGGGACAGATTTGGGTCCCATGGGATGCTCCCTTGTATGAAGGGGTAGACTGCACATGCAAGAGAGCAAACCGCTCTAACCAACCCCTCAAGAGCAATCACGGTGGGATTTCAAAGGTATCTAGTATTTCAGAGGTATAAACCCCAGCAGGAATCAGGCTGGAAGTGCCCATGCCGCAGCTCGAAGCTCTTCCAGCCTGCACTTCGCAAAGAACCGCAGCAAGAAGCCATCTCCTTTCCCTTTTTCCCTATGAGGATGAAGCATTTTTCACATCCCGACCACCATCTATCTATAGGGCTGAACCTGGGAATATCCATAGCAAAACATAAACCGTATTTATACAGCTAGAAGGGAAAAAGAATAAACGGAAAATGAAATTATCTGCTCCAGAGAACATCCCGCAATTATCCCAGGTGGGAGAGTTTCTCTACGGGACTGTCGGTGGGGGGAGAAAATGGTGGCTTTAAAGCCCATCAGGCATCAACCCGTGCCTCGCCTCACTTTTAGCACAGCACTAAACAGCGCACAAACCTGCAGCCCATGCTCTGTGCCAGAAGGATTTGGTTTTACCCTCCCCAAACACAACCCGAACCCCTGCGCTGACAACCTGCATTAGGAGCCGCGCTGCAGCCGCAGCCTGCGGAGCACGGAGGCTCCCGGGCGCCGGCTCGGCCACATGAAACCAACCAACACGGAGGATTTGCTGGCAAAACCTTCTCCGAACCCGAGCGCAGGGATGAGGGCTGTTGGGAGCAATTATTTAGGAAGCGTCGTGGGAGGGGAGGCGAAGGAGGGAGCCCCTTGGTTTGCATGCGAGGGGCAGGCAGCGAGCGGGTGAGGACGGCTTGAGACACAAACCCTGCCTCACGCCCGAGGAGCTGAGCCCGGTAGCTCCCTGCCCTCCCGCAGCGGATTCCTGCTTTAATTATGATTTTAATGTTTTACTCTCCATGTGAAATCACTCCCCCGCATTTCAGCCTCCCCCCTTGCTCGCAGCCGATACAAAACCTCCGGCGGGTTTTGGCCAGGCCACTTCTGCCTCTCAGGATCTCGCAAAACCCCTCCCGTGAATCGAAAATGAGAATTAGTACCTAGCATCTTTTTTACTCATTTCCCGCCCTCTCAGGAAGCCGGCCTGACGTTACTCATCCCCAGCTGCGTGGGGCTGGACCCCAGCTCCTGGGTGGGTTTGGGAGCACCTACGGCTCTGTGGGATGCTCCTGTGGGATATTCAAACCGGGAGAGCAGGTACCGGGGTGCAGCACCTCACCGGCCTTGGCTTTCTTTTCATACAGTGCAAGCTGAGGAGAAAAGGGTTGGGGTTTGGTTTTGGTTTTTTTTTTTAGAGCAAAGCATAAGTGGAATCTGGTCCTTCACCCTGCCTCTGTCTTGTCTATGGAGATGGTGATTCTTTTTTGCGGCTTGTGTGTGTGTGAGGAGAAAGACCCCGCTCTTTCCAGCTCACAGCGATGGGGAACAAGCCCGGACACATTAATATTAAAAATGCCCAATTCTGAAGCATTTAAAACCATGTTTTCCAAACGAGAGCTTATTCTGATGTTACAGGGTTCAGGCACACGCTCAGGCTATTCACAGGCATACACTTCACACATTAGATTTGCACAAACGTTTACACACACACAGGGCTCTTCCCTAGCAAAAACCTATTGCAGCGAGTCCAGATTTCTGCCAGAATAAACGAAACCAGCGCCGGGCTCCAGGAGATGGAGCCGAACAAATGACAGCAAACGGGACAGCCTGAATTAAAATGCAATAGAAACGATTTTTCACGCTAAATAGGTCTGAGAGAGCCCTGTGACCGCGAGGAGCTGCCGTACACCGCGAACTAAGCACACGCCGCGAGAAAACCCTACAGACACCTTTACACCAGCCCCAGGAAGCCCGATGGGGTTATTGCTCCGTAAATGTTGCAAAGCCTCATCCCACATTAAAAATCATATAATCAGCAGTCGAGTTACGCTCTGAAGCTCCACAGAGGCAGAAGAGGGTTTTTTTTACTGCTGTAACGAGCATTTGCCAGGACTCTGCCCCAGGAACGAGACTGTTCACCCAAGTGCTTCCCGGGACTGTAAACTGCTGCTAATTGAGAGCGTTAATAATGAATTCAAGAGTCAAACTGAGATTGGGTTGCATTCAGCTTGGAAATTTGTGCAAGGACGATTAAAAAACCCAACCCAGAAAGAAAAGAGCCCGAGAGAATAATTGATTACAGAAATGAAAGCTTAATTCATAAAAGAAAAACATTTTCCATCCATCAACCTGCAACCAGTTAAGTGGAGAGTTTTAAAGAAACTGCAGCATGGAGAAGGAGCCAACAGGAAAAAGGAAATGTATGAAAGAATGTAAACTATTCAAGTTTCATAAAGAGGAACAAGTAAACAGTTATTACATGCAAATAATTCCCAACATCGCTGCTTTTAATTAATGCAGAGAAGTCAAAATATATTTGAAATTGTGCGTATACATTCAAAGACTTGGAGAAAACGCTACCATATGGCCATTAAAATATAGAATTCTTATTTTCGTTTAAATGAAACAATTACGAGCCTCGAGCCGCAGCGCGTCTCGGTGGCGAGATGCTGAAATTCTGTTTACTCTCTTTGCAATTCAGGTGCGATGCGGCTGAGAGGGGCGGGAGGGATGAACGGGAAAAGCCAAACTCCGCGGCCGGAGAGGGACGTTCCCGACCCGCTTTTCCACGCGGCAAACGCAGAGAAAACGACGGGAGTCACCGGGGCACCGAGACGAGCCCTCTCCGCCCCGCACCGTTCACACTGGAGGGCACCGACGCACCTCCCCTCACCGGGCGCTCACCGCGGCCACTGGAGCGGCCGGATGAGATGAATCGGGGAGGGTCTGAGAGGGGACCGCAGCCTCCTTACCCCACATCGGAGGCTTTACACCGAGGTGGGTTTATTGCCCTGCACCGCAGCGGAAGAACCTCCAGGCGGAGCGGGGCCGCTCCTTCCTGCGCGACAAGCCCGGCCCGCGGCAACGAAACCACCGGCCCGCGGGAGACACGTCATTAAAATACAATTAAAATAAACTAAAGCTCTTACCCCCCCCCCCCCTTTTTTTTCCCCTCCTCCTTTTCCTTTTTTTTCCTCTAAAAAGACAAATAAGAGACAACCATTCCCCGGGCGGTACCTACCCCGGCCGCTTCTCCCAACAAATCTGAGGTCGTTAAATCTCGCCACTTGGTTTTTCATCACGGCGGAAGCGTTGCGGAGCTCCGCCGAGTAATTCTCGTCGTTCCCGGCCATCACCGTGACCACCGTCCCATCGGGCACATCTCCGAGAGCTACGACCTAAGGCGGAACGGAAGGATTTTAGGCTAATACCAACGGCGGTCGGAGCTAACCTGCCCTACGCTTTTCCCCCTAAACCCGCCAAAAAACCCGAAGCAAAACCAAAAGCAATCCGAGCCCCCGAGGAGGGCTGCAAAACCAGCGGGGAAGGGGAAAATGAGCTAAAAAGGTGGTTAAAAGGAGCGCGGGGATTACGCGGGGGGAGGAGGGGGGGATGAGGCCGCCCTCGGTCTCCCTCGGGGACATTCGTGTTTTATTTTGTTTGATTCGGAGGGGTGTAAAGACGCTGCTGAACTCGGGGCGGCCACGGAGTTGCCCGGCGAAGCCGCGGAGGGGAGCCTGAGCCCGGCGATGGGGAACGGATCCTCTGAACCCCCTCCGGGTACCGGGGACGAGGGCCCCGAGCTCCCGGTGCCGGCACGGCAGAAACGGGGGGGGGGCGGTTTGTAACAACCTCCGGGGTTCGTGGGGCTCAGTTGCCGTCCCCCCAGGCTCCCGCAAAGCTGGGGCTTTCCCCCCGCCAAGCCTCAGCCCGGGGCTGCCCCGTTGGGTCCCGCAGGAGCGGAGCCGGGCGGCGCGGGGAGCCCGGGCAGCGCAGCCGGGTGCCGGGGCTTCGGCTCTTCGCTTTCTTTGTGCCGATTAGATCTTCCTGCCTCCCTCTCCCAGGAAGGTAATTAACCTCCACTCTCATTAAACTTCAAAGTTGCCTGAGAGCTCCTAACTGTACGGAATATCTAAGATGCTGTGACCGCGGGGCAATGCGGAGACGTGATTAAAAATAATAAACCGGGCTCGCTCCGAGGTGATGTCAGGAGCGAGTTAAAGCGCGAGGGGCGAGCCCGGAGCCGGGCCGGTCCTGCCGGGAGTACAGCGCGGCCTCATCCCCCCCCCGCCCCGTCCCGGCTTACCTTGAAGGCGACCGGCAGCGTCTTGTTGCATCTCCAGTGGGACGGCAGCACCGAGCACAAGAAGTTGGGGCTGTCGGTGCGCACCAGCTCTCCGGCGTGGTCGGCCAGTACATCCACGACGGAGCGGACCTCGGGCCGAGCCCGGGCCCCTGGCGCGGGGGCCCCCAGCGCCCCGCTGTTCTCGCCCATCTTACCGCAGGGGAAGGCCGTGGACGGGGGTGTGAAGCGCCTGCTGGTGCTCGGGTCTACGGGAATACGCATCACAACGGCGGGCGTCAGGGAGCCGCCGCTGCCGAGGGGTGCGAGGTGAGGCCCGGCGGGGCGCGGCGGCGGGGAGCAGAGGCGGGGGCAGCGGCGGCCGGGCCCCTCGCTGCCTCGCTCCGTCCCGGCGGATCGCCGTCCTTCGCGGGGCGGCGCGGGGAAAGCGGTGCGCGGTGTCCGCTCCCACCCGGCTCCGGGGCTCGTCCCCGGCAGTCCCGCTGCGCTCCCGCCCTGGCAAAGGCGGCGCAGAGCCCCGGCAGAGCCACGTCGCGGCCGGGCGCCTCGGTGGCAGTGGGTGCCTCAGCCGGCAGCCCCGAAACCAGCTCCCGAGTGTCCGCCGCCCGCCCGGTACCGTATTTACTGCCGGCCCGGGCGGGGCGGGCAGCGCCCTGAAGGACGGGGAGTGCGGCCAATGGGGGGGCCGCGGGCGCCCTTCTCCCCTCCCACGGCGTGGCTCCAACGGGGCGTGGTCATAGGCACAAGGGGCGGGGTTAATGCCGAATGGGGGCGTGCCCGGTGGGAGCCATGTGCCCCCCCCCCCCCCCCCGTACCCCGCCGGGCCCGGCAGGGCGGGCACACGTCGGGGCTCGGTGGCTTCGTGCCGTCGCCGGCAAAAGGTTTGGGGCGCGATGGGGCCGGAGCCGCCGCCGTGCACGGGGCTGGGAGCGCAGCACGTCCCCCGCAGCCGGAGGGGGCTCGACCGTGCTGGGACCGGGGAAACGGCGGCCGCGGAGGACCACGTGGGACGGCACACGCATCACCGCACACGCATCACCGACGGGGACTGCTCGCCCCACGGCCTGCGCTGGACACCGCTGCTCCCCAGCCTCCACCTTCTGCCCTCCCCAGAATGAAAACCGGCTCCATCTCCGGCGGTCCCGGCGCCCCCAGCAGCTCCCCCGGGGCTGTGGCTGCGGGCAGGGCCGGCGGCTCCGGCCGCAATCGTTGCAGAAAAAAATCCGTGGCGAAGCCACCGGTTCTGTGGGAACACAACGGCGGCGGCGGCCGCGGTTCGCTCCGCTCCGCGGCTGCCCACGGCTTTCCCGGCCGCGACGAGGCAGAACCGGGGGCTTAGCGGGGGTTCCCTTGCCGCGCTGCCCACTGCGTTCCGCCGGGGCTCGGCTCCGTCCGGTGTTTAGGCCCCGGGGCTGCCCGTCGGGCTGCAGCTTTCCCGGCTCCGCGCTGCGCGGGGTGAGACGCGGTTTTCCTTAAAACAAACAAAAATAAACCCAAACAGCAAACAGTGAAATAAAATCACAAATTCCGCTTTTCCTAAAGTCCCTCCACAAACCAAAGACGCGTTTTCCCCCGCCGCGTCCGGAGAGCCCCGCTCGCAAGACCCGAACCCCGCGTTTGTTGTGTGTGTCCAAACCTATGTATGTTTTCTTTTTAACGGGAAGGAGCGGACATTCTCCCGCTGCAGCCCTCGTTAACGCCCGGGCAGCGCCGGCCCGTCGAGCCGGTGCCGGGGGCAGCTTCTCCCCCACCGGCCCCGGGGGCGGCCGCCGTGTCCCGCCGTTACCGGCGCTGAAATCCTGCCCTTTTTAGGTGCAAGCGCCCGCCGGGGTTAGTTCTGTTTTCCAGCCGCCGTTCGCAGCGGGGGGACCCAGGCAGGACCCGGAGCAGGGGCGGGGAGGGTCCGCAGAGCCGGGGCGTGCCGAGGCCCGTCGCGGTGCCCCCCGGTAACCCGGAGGAGAGGATCGGAGGGGTGCGGGCAGTGAAGGGGGGCACCCCGCGCATGCGTGGTGGGGGGGGCAGCGCAGCAAGAAGGCCGCTAGTTGGCGCCGAGGCTCCGCCGTGGCCGCTCCGCGACGGGGCGGGCGGGATGGGGCGGCCCCGGCCGGTGACGGGCGCCCCCCGGACCGGGCCGATGCCACCCCCCCACACCCCCCCCCGCCTGCTGCCCCCCTTCGTACCCTCGGCCCTGCCGTGCTCCTCCGGATGCTGAACCGACCCCCAGGGCTCCCCTCCTGTGCCCCCGACACCTCCCGGCACAGCCCTGCTCGTTACCCGGTTGCCTCCCCCCGGAGCTGCAGCCCCGCACTGGGGTGCAGAGCCCGGCTCTGGCTGCCTGCCCTGTCCTGCGAGCCCCAGGGGTGGCACCAGACTCGGACCCCAAAGGATGGAGCCCTCTCCTCACTGTTCCTTCTCAGCTCTGCATCCCCTGCCCTTCCTGCTCTGGCTGCTTCATGCACCCGGTGTCTGCTCGCAGCCCAGCCATCCACAGCCTTCTCTGTTCCCTTTTTATACTGGGAGCAGCCTGTTGGAAAGGGCATCTCCTCAGTGTCCTCAAAGCAACATAGAAATGCCTCCCATAGTACACGGAGCCGCTCACCAGCGTATTCCTAAGGGAACTATGTCCTGCTTCCTCCCCAAAAGTTGCTCCAGCACCCCCTGACCTCCAGCCCTGACTTGTTCTTGACTTCAGGGCGATGGGATGTGGCCTCACCCCATAACCCATCGCGCAGCCCTGCACTTCTCCATCGTGTAGGTGCAAAGCCAGTTGCTGACTTGCAGTAATACAAAACTGGACCCAAACCCCAGAGCAGTGACAAACCAGGATCTGCCCAGCCCCAGGCTGGCCGGTGACCCCTGGAGGTGCAAAGCGGTGTTCAGGAGAGCAAAGCTGCCCTGGAGCTACAGGCTCCATGGCACAGGTAACCTCAATGGGCATTATCTTTCATTTGAATTATCCTCGTCAGCCCAGTGGGATTCAGAGTCCCAGAGAGGGGACAAACCTCACACTGCGAACCAGGAGACATCAGTGTATGGGGAATATTCCTCCGCCACCCTCCCTGCACTCCAGAGGAGGTTAATGGAGTATGAGACCCAGGATTTGCATGGGCCTCTTTGCAAATACTTAAAAGCTACTGTTCACATTGCAGGGAGGTCAGCGGCTCTTTAAATCATTGCTCTCTGGGATTACTTCCCTTACAGGCTCCTCTGTAGTTTTTAATTCATTTGAGCTGCTCTTCAGCAGCAGAGCCACTTGTTTCAACAGTGAGGAAGCGAGCGCAGGGGCTTATAGGAAGCTTTCTATTAAAAATTCATCGCAAACTCTGCCTCAGAGCTCTCAGGAGCACGGCGCTCAGTAGGGCCATGCGGGTGTCTGGATCTATTTTGTAGTTAAGGGAAGGGGATCTGAGAGCAGCATGCAGGGAGGGAGCGTGCTATTCATTCATAAATCAAACAACAGATGCTGGGTCCAATGGGGTGCACGATGGTAGCAGTTTTTAACCCCCGAGTGTCACCGCTAAAATGGGCTCCCATGGGGCAATTACGGGCTCTGCAGGCAGAGGATCCTGCGGGAGGAAGCCACGGGGCTCAAGGGAAGAAATAAGGGGAAGCTTGGGGGGAAGGTGGTGGCTGTCCCAGACATAAATCAGAGGGAAGCCTCAGCTTGGGCAAGGAACCAGCCCCAAGATCAGCCTGCTGATGGGCTGTGCTTGGGCTGCTGGGTGATACCCACAGCAGGGGAACCCTTCTCAGTCCCTGCTTCCGTGGGCTCTACATCAGGTCCTGAGCTGGGACATCCATTAACCCCATGGGAGCCACAGCTGCCCAGTTCCACCTCACTGTCTGCATACGCAGCCCTGGCAAGCAAGATCCTTGCTTGGGGCAGCAAGAGGAGGAGGAGGACTTTAGTAAGATTCCAGATCCTGACATGAGATACTGTCACTAGAGAAAATCAATGAGATTTCCACCTGGTACCAGGTTTCATTTACCATTGCTTGAATGACTGGAAAAGATCACAGCTGAGAAGTGGTCATTGACCCTCCTTACAGCTTCGGGGCTCGTGTGTCCCCCCAGTTGCTCCCAGTTTATCTCAGTGCATTTTATCACCAGCCCTCATTTCAACCAGCATCCCCAGGGAAACACCACACACATCCCTAGGGATGCATCTGGGGAGCAAAGCAGTGGAGCCCCATGTGCATTGACCAGGGTGAGCTGGGAGTGATGCTGCTGCCATTGGGGATTTATCAATCCCTCTGAACAGTGCAAGGGGAGCCAGGACCTGCCACCCCCAAGCACCAGCTGCTGGTGGCTGCAGACAAATCCTCTAGCACTGGCAGGATGGGATGGGATGGGATGAGGTTTTCAAAAGCTGTGAAGTGACTTGGGAGCACGAGTGCGATTGACGTGGATCCTGGGCCTCTGAAGTCACGAAAGTGCCATTCTTCATTGTTCAGGACCGCGACTCTCCTCTCCCCACCACGGCCTGACAAGGAGGAGCATGTTCAGGGCTCACATCCTCTGTGCTATTGATAGCGCGGGTGAGCTTTTTGGAGCGTGGGTCCCATCTGCCACTTCCACTCCTTTTTAAAAGATCCTAATGACTGTCAGATCCTTTTAGTTCTTAATTAATTTCAGAGTTCAACTGCAAATAGGAAACAAGGCAGCTTTTGCCCTTACGCATATGAATATTACTGTTCCATTTAATGTGGTTACTGGTGGAATGCTGTTATTCATTCCTGCCTGCAATAAAAGCCACATGTTTTTAAAACTTTGCACTTGAAAAAACTTTTAGGAAAGAAATCAAGTATGTTTTGTATGCATGGCATGAGATAAAAACTAGTCATAAATATTCAAAGAACAGTTAGAGCTTTATGCTTGATTTAAACAAGTGAACAGAGAAGTACGATGGTTGAAGTGAGTGGAGAATGAAAGCCCAGTGCTCCTTTAAGAATGTGCTTATGCAGAGAAAAAGAACTATTCATGCAAAGGTTATGGAGCACCTAAGGACATCCCATCTCCTCCAGAAATGCTCAAAGGTGGATAACACGACTGGAAACACTGGGCTTTGTTCAGAGCTATTCAAGTTCATCGGAGTTTCTCTCTCTTTGAGGGTTTTAGATGAGTTTTAGGGGACTTGGTGCCTCCTGCCAGACCCTGTGGGGAATGAGGACTCTTCTTGCATGGAGACACCTACAACGCGTCTGTTCCTCATGTTGGAAGGCAGACGGTTGACGTTGTGGTGAACGTTTCATTGGGCTCCTGGGACCCTTGGACAGACCTTCCTGGAGCCCTGCATCCCAGCACAGCCGAAGGGACGAGGGAAGGGATGGAGCACGGGGGCCAGGCAGTGCCTGTCCTGTGTCCGTGCCGCCGGAGCGGTGCTGAGTCCTTCAAACCCTGCACACAACGGGGGGAGAAAGAAAAAAAATTCCAAAGGAAAG